TTCTGTGATGCTTTTTCGCTCTGTGTTTACATCTCATTCTTCATATGGCTATCTTTTTTCACTGTGTGTTTGTAGCTTTTCCCTCTGCGTTTGTCTGTGTCTGTCTGTCTGTCTCTTCCTCTCTTTCTGTCAGTGTCTGCATCTCTTTCTATCTGTGTCTGTACCGATTTCCACAGTTTCTCTCTCTCTCTTTCTCTTTCTCTGTCTCTCTCTCTCTCTCTCTCTCTCTCTCTCTCTCTATCCGACTCTCCAACATTTTATTGTACTTATTTGAAAAGACACATCGTTTCCTATTGAACATTAATATGTTCTCTTTCTTTTAACTCCTAAGTCATAAGATGTTACAATATTTGAAATCTCTTACACATTTTCTTATTTTAGCCTTATATATATATATATATATATATATATATATATATATATATATATATATATTTCCTTATTTTTCTACCTTTCTGCCGAAAACTACTTACTTCTACTTCCCATCCGTATTTCATTCTCTTTAAAAACAAATGAATGGTCAGAAGCGAAATGAGGCTGCACGTTTCGAGCACAACGCATCTTTTCCTTCGCTTGCTTTTTTTAAACAGTTTCTTTTGACATAGCTTGCCCATTGATCACGAACTGACCCTTAAACCCGCAATGGTGATTCCAGTAAGCTATAAAACAATGTAAGACAAATCAACAATAAAGGAGTTTATCGATGTAAAAACATACGATATAATACCAATAAAATATTGCTAAAAAGAATGAAAAAAAAATTATTGTATAAATGAAAGATAAATAGATCTTAGATAAATGAATCTGGGTAGCCATAATTATGCACATGAAAAAAAATTGTCTATATATAATTACTTCATCTTCTATGAGCTGTGTCCTTCAGGACGTTAGCGATCATGGCTCTCCACATTTCCTTGCAGAAGTTAATCAAAACAGCAGCAGTTATGGAAAAATCCAGTTTGTAATGGTCGTTGGGACGAGTCTACAACACAAAATCTATCCGATATCATTTCTCTCCCCCTCTATCACTCAATCTTATATATATATATATATATATATATATATATATATATATATATATATATATATATATATATATATATATTGTGGATGAGCAGGTGGTGTAATGGATACCGACCCAGAATCAAAAACAGGAAAGGTGAATTGAATTCCAAGTGAGTTTGTTCCTTTCCACTTTCTCGAAAAATAACCTTTGGAAATTTATGGAACTCACCTATGAGTTAAATAGTAAGTTTTGCATATGGACAAATTATTGCTCTTCGGAACAAATTATAACTGAGAGAGAGACAAGGGGTATATAACTACAAATAAATAAAGAGAGATATATAAGTAAAGATAGAGATTGTGATATAGATACAGAGATGGAGATAGATAGATAGATAGATAGATAGATAGATAGATAGATAGATAGATAGATAGATAGATGAAGGGATAGCAGAGAAATATATTACAAATAAAGTGTGATGGATATATAAAAGGCGTAGATATAGAAATCAACGCTGCATTGCAACCGGAAGCGATGGAGCTAAGGTGGAAGGCGAAACCAAATCTCCTGAGTTAGCAAGTGGTTCTAATTAATCATATTTTTTCTCATGTTGTCAAGGCAAAGTTAACAAAACTTATGATGTTGATACGTACTTCTGTAACGTTCTGTCATTGGTATATAATATTTCTGTTTCTATGCTGGAGGTTCTGACATTGTTGTTTTGTTTAGAAGATTTCGAAATATCTGACAATCCAAATTGCACAGGTATTCTTTATTTTGGTGAAGTCTATGGGCCATATATTGGGCCTGCCGTTTTCCTTGTTTTTCGATACAAATTATGAATGTTTTTTTTTTTTTCTTCGGTAACATACGCTTCATTTTAAACGATTCAGAAATGCCAAGAAATATTTATTGAGATTTTGGATAAATTCTTGATGCGTGTTTGTTAAATTCCTCCCTAATTTGTGTGTTCGTTAAATTACCTGCAATTTATCGTATATTTAAAATGCAACCGATTTGTTTGTGCTCTTTAAAATGCACGCAATTTTGTATTTTAATTGTTCGAATATTTTTCTCAAATGTACACATGTTTTATTATCTTTTCTCTCATTCCCACTGCTTCGCATTTATCAAGTTATCATTTTCATATGTCCCATTACAAACACAATACTGATGTTTTGGGCTGCAGATCAAAACCATATATATATATATATATATATATATATATACATATATATATTAGTAGTTGTAATCTTCAGTGATTTGAATAACCAATACCAAAGGGGAAAAATGTATAAAAAAGAAAAAACCATGAACATATACGTTAGCCGAAAATAATCGTCTAGCATACAAGTCTAAAGCCCAAAGAAAAAAAAAACCGATACAAGTAGGCAAAATAACAAAATAATATGCTCGATACAGTAAGCAGAGCCAACCATCCCTGACGATCCGCTTAGGTGAAATTTTGGTAGGTGTATCTGGCTCTCTAGGTTTAACTATATATATATATATATATATATATATATATATATATTTTTACTTTACTATTTTATATATATATATATATATATATATATATATATATATATATATATATAGGTTAGTGATGCCTTTTCGGTAGTCTATTGTTTTATTCTAATGGTTATTTGCGTTGTTGACAAAGGTTATGTTTTGTATTGTTCTAGGAGCTATTGAGTGGAAATAATTGTTGATCTGGATGCAGTTCTGGGGCTATTATATTGTTCTTTGTTATCTTTTTATTTATTTATTATTGATTATTTTATTGTTGGCTGTTCTGATTACGTTTATATGTTAATTCAGGGTTTGTTAATTGGTTTATTATTTACTTAATTTATTTACATATTTATTGGTTTGTACTATTTTATTTTTTGTTTATTTTACCAACACACACGTATATATTTGTATTTCAAAAGATTAATGAATTTATTTGTAATTGTCATTTAAAAAATTACTATAATGGATAGCTCTTATCTTAAGGAGACTTCATTTTTTTATTTATTATTAAGCACAATTATGACATTCATATTTTAATAAAAAATAAAAATGATGCATTTATGTCAAGTCGAAATATACACTATACACATATATATATATATATATATATATTATACACAGAAAAAAAAATATATATATAGGACGTGGACAAGTAGTTAGAACGTTCGCTTTCCGACCATCAAAATATGGAACGCCCTCATTATCGATTTGTCAGCAGGGTGTCTTCTTAATTTTATAAGCCGAACGATGCAATAACAACGGTAGTACAACTCGTAAGTGGCTGCAAACCATACCATATTTGGACTCAAAACTTCTGTACTATTTTGTATTTCAGCACACAGGACTTGTTCAAACTCCTGATTACGCAAGATTGTGTGTCTTCTCCCAGAAACTGTAGCTTATGTCCCACCAAAGTTGCAGTGTAAACCCAAGATAGGCAAATTTTTTTAGCAAATACAAATATGCCTAAGATGGCTTCATCTTAAGGAAGCTGCCAGAGCGGGCGGGTATATCCTGAAATAAGATGAACATTGTTCTGCATCTTTTCATATATATATATATGTGTGTGTGTGTGTGTGTGTGTGTGTGTACTCTTGCAAAATCATTCTTCTTTTCTTACGGTTAACCTACGTTGAACACTGGTTTCATTATGATCACCGAAGTTAAGCGCCTGGATGGATGACCCCTTGGGAATACCATGTGATGTATGCTTTGATGTGCGGGTTATGTAATGGATAACGAGTCGGAATTATTAATTCGGGAGACGAGCCCCAATTGTCGTCGAGGTCATTACATACACTTATGCTCAAAGACAATTGAGGAAGGTGTGAATCCACCTCTCCCTTCCTCTAGCTATGAATTAATTAGTAAAACTTATATTACTAAACCATTGTCATTAAAAAAAACAAAAAAAAAACTCTTACAATCGAAACATATTTTCTGGATTTAAATAATATGCAAGTTGTTGATAAGCCGTAAAAACGAATCAGTAAATATACCCACCAAAATTATTATTATTATTATTATTATTATTATTATTATTATTCGTAGTAGTAGTAGTAGTAGTAGTAGTATTTCTTTTTATTTCCGTTGTAAACATAATTCCTTCCAAGACTCAACAAGAGACTTGAGGTTAGAAATAGCTTTATGATTTTTTCACTGATCATTTGTGTAATAAATAACATCGCATACATTTTACATAGATAAAGCGTTTCGTAATGTGTAAGCTATACTTGCAAGTACTATCTCTTTTATATTTCTTTAAGGCATGGGCTACCAGAAATCTCTTCAACAAGTCTTTCGAAACTTATTCCAGTCAATCCGAAGGTTACCACTACAACTGAAATTATTGATGACATCAAGCCCCTCATTTTTAGGTTTCCTCTTCAAGATCCTTGAATATTGTTAGTTGTCATGAAGATCTTCAAATGTACATTACGTATTGCAGGAACTGTCATGTAAATAAAAAAGCACATCCTGTATATGTGATATTTGATCGCGCTGTCTGGGCGATTAGGTTTCATTGTTCTGTCCGTAGGTACTGTAAAGACCCACAAAATTGTTACAGGTTCACCAACTGGGCCTGGGTAAGGTTCATACCAGTTTCTTGCAGTTTATTTTTTTATTTTTGTTTTTATTTTTTTTAAATTATTATTATTAGTAGTAGTAGTATTAGTAGTAGTAGTAGTAGTAATAATTTCTAAGTTATTTTTGGAGCGTCTCTCAGGTGATTATACATTCGCTGATTGGCTGATACAAAACCAGCCAAAATATAGAAGTAGGAGTAGCTACTAGACAATTTTGATCAATGGCGGTAAGAAATCCAGAAATGTTACATGTGTGGAATCTCGCCGCTGGTCAAATGCAAACTCGTTTTAACCTATTACCAAAGAAAAGAGAATCCAAAAAGTATGTTTATTTTAGAGAAAAATAAAATGGCATTAAACCAAAAGACACCATATATATATATATATATAGATAGATAGATAGATAGATAGATAGATAGATAGATAGATATAGATATATATATATAGTGTAACCCGGATATAAGAGATTTGTCGGGACAGAGAAGAAGTCTCTTATATCCGGGTTTCTCTTATATCCGGGTTTGGCCTATTTTATATACATTAACACAGGCTCTAATTTGGGACCAGATAAAATCTCTCTTATATCCGGGTTACACTGTATTTGGTAGGATAGATGTGACTTTGAGACCCTGGGTTTCACGCTTTAGCGATCGTCAGACAAAATCGCTAAAGCGTGAAACCCAGGGTCA